GACATACTCTGTGCAGTTTTCTAAAAAAGTATTAAAATATTAAAAAGGTAGATTAGCTATAGGGACTAAATATCCCGACCACACTTGTAGTCAAACAGTGTTTGTAGTAATAGTGACGCTAAACGGGACGAATGTCTTGTTTACAGTTTGGTAACGATATTGGAAACAGCAAAAGTCATTTATGTTAATATGTCTGATTAACATAGCAGCTTAATGAAATACAATTTACCGTAAACTTCTGAGAAACACACAGGTATGACGGATTCATAAGAAATCTGCTGAGTAAGCAGTATGTGACGTAGCATCGATGTGCCATAAGGTTTGCTGGATTTACGGTACGGCAGACAGTCAGAATACCGGTTCGGAACCGGCAGTCGGGTCCAGGTTCTACAGGTTCAGACCTTCTAACTGGATGAGCCTCAGAGGGTTCTGAGCTGCTGCAGGATCCAGCGATTTCGGGGCCGTCAGAACCTGCTGTGGATTCTGTACCTGTGTCTGTTCTTGTTCTTCCTCTTCTTGTGGTTGCCGTGGTGACTGCTGGACGAGGACGATGACGCGGCTTTCTGAGGCTTCAGGTCCTGCAGCGCTGAGTCCACGTCCTCTGTGTCGTCCTGGCTCGGCTCATTCTCCTGGTTCTGAAGGTCCGGAGATGTGTCGCTCTCCGTGCCGCTGCCGGCTTCGCCTGCAGAGACCCGGCAGAACATCAGAACCACCAGGGGGCGCTGCCACAGCAGTCTGACAGTTAAACACCACTCACGCTTTTCATTCATGTGATCTGGGATCCCTCCGAGCGCGCACACCGCCTGCCAATCACAATGCAGACACCGGCATGAGCCCACTACTCAACACAGAACCAGGACCAGAACCTGACGCAACAACAGAACTCACAGCGACAGACGTCACAGATGACTTGCTGAACAGACGCTCCGCCTCCTTAAACTTCCGGTTCCTTCTGTCAGTTTTACTGTTGGAGTTCCTGTGTAAAAAAAATGGAGGGTCTGGTCATCAGAACCAAACATCAGAAGGTAAAACCCGTCAGACCTTCCTCTTACTTCTGGTTGGTGAGGTAGCGGTCCCATCCTCGGATGATGTTTCCGTACATCTGGGTGTCCTCCAGGTAGCTGCCCTCAAAGGCGTAGATCTGTCTCTCCAGGTTCACCAGCGTCTCCTGTTAGGTTGAAACAGACAGCTGTTCAGGTGAGGGATATGTTTGGACAAAATCAACATTATTGGATAAAATAAATAAATAAAAAGTAAATGAATCAAATTTTACCCCATTTTGTTTTTCTAATTTCTAGTAGAGTGTTCATCTTAAACATTTTTCTCTTTAGTGTAGTAAACTGCAATGTAGCTTTAATTGTAGTACTGTGGTATTTTCTTATGTCGTATTTTGTCCTTACTTTCTTTTATTCTAATTGTTATAAATATATTGTTTTACCTTTGTGCGTCTCCACATTCTTACTGACATTTGAATTGCAGCTAAATTTCTCCACTCTGGGACAATAGGAGATATTTATATTCTGTTTAAATTTCAAACTACTCAGACATAAACTTATATTTGTTCTTCTGGAAGTCATTAAATAATTTCATCAGTTATGTTTAACAGACTGGATGTTTATTGATATCGCGAGATTTCAGTCAAACCGTTGGCAGCTGTACGTTTCCGTGCTAACAATGGAGCATTATTAACAGGTTTATTCTGAATGTTTCAACGATAATAAACATATGTAAACCTTTAGGAAACACTACATGGGCTTTTTATCCATTCAGTAATTTTCTAATATAGTTTTATATGCGTTTTAAAAGGAAAGTAACCGTTGAGTTACCAAGAGCTAAACGCTAGTTAGCCTCCATTAGCTTAGCATGTAGGCCTCAATTAATGGCGGAGCGACTAATTCCGCGGATAAAACGCCCAAAATCCACATCTACTCACAGCCAGCTCCTGTTTCCTCTTCACCAGCTCCGCTAGTTCCCTCCTGGTGTCCGGGATCTGAGGTGGGGTGGCCTTAGCGTGCATCGCCATGACGGGAGGAGGCTCTCTGGAAAACAGCAGCGAAGGAAAAGGTAGAAGCAGCGGGCTGCAGTGGTCGCAGGGTTCCGATACTTCCGGCAGGGGGCGCTCCAGACCACGACAGGGCTCCGGTAGGACTCAAACAGTTACTATGACAACAACTCCATCTTATCTGCAGCTTCACGTTAATTTTTGATGTTTTTCAATGAGATCTGATCAGCGAAGATGCCGATTTAGCAGCAGAGAATATGAAGTTTATTAGTTTTAATTGTTATTTCACTGTGTTCAAAGTTTTATCACCAGCATTTATCCATCGAAGTTTTCCAAACGTTTTTGGTTTTCTTAAATATTTCCTAATGACTTGTGGAGCTGGAGAACAACCAGGAAATGTTTTCTGCTGCATTCAGGAATATTTTCAATCTCCAAGCGGATATGGAGCCAAAAGCAGGGAAAGTTTACCAGAAGGAAAAGATCATGTCAAAGTGAAGTAGCAACACATCTCAGAGCATCAGAAAAACCTGACTCCTCTTCCTTCTTCATCAGATAAACTTAGAGGAAACACTGCCAGAGCTGGAGGTTCATGGAATGTTCTTCAGTCACACTTTCAGGAACATTTCAGCTTCAGAAAAAGGATTAAATTTGATTCAGACATTCAGACTAATTATTAACGTTTTTGTTTTTAATAAAATGTATGTTTCAGTTTACTGCAATCCTCGTGTTGTGACAAAGGACTGCCCGAAGCCTCAAACATTCCTACAGCTCCTCCTGCTTGACATGAGTTATAAATTACATTTTCCATCCTTTATTATCTATTAGTGTGAGAATGAATCAGCTGCTGTGGAAGGTCAGCTGTTTTCTGACTGATGGTCATGTTGCAGCAGCTGCTGGTCCAGGAACAGCTGAGAGGAGAAGCTCTACCAACTGCTGCAGGGCAGGACGGGATGTGTGTGTGTGTGTGTGTGTGTGTGTGTGTGTGTGTGTGTGTGTGTGTGTATGTGCGCGCGCGCATGTCATGTGATTGAGTGGAAACAGACCAAGGCTGTTATGCACAATGAGGCTGGCTTCATTCCACCAGGCAGAGCTGCTTCAGATTTAAAGGCTCGCTGTCTAAGAGATGGTGACATCTAGTGGTCACAGTGAAACATAGCAGCTACGCTTAACGTTGCTAACCTGAGCTCATCCTGCCTTCACTGGTAACCAGCAACCTGAAAATGTTCAGCTGCAAAAAACCCTCAGAAGGTCTGGAAAACTATTGATCATGCAGGAAAAAGGAGATTTTAGTTGAAATCTAAAGTTTACAGGTGCTAAATAAATATTTAGCTGAATAAATATTTAGCTTCCTAGCTAGCTATTTAGCTTGGAGCTAAATATTTAGTTGGTATACTTGATATTTAGCTTGATACTGTAATATCTATAAATAAATGAATGCAGTGAAAATATAATTTGGAATGTTTTTTCACTTCATTTGAAAAAATGAAGTGTACATTTGATAATATTAATTAATATTAAAAATGAATAAAAAATGCAGATAAATTATTCAATTAATTAGAAAACAAAAGTTTTATTGGCCAAAAGCCAGTAACTTCATTCATTTAGAGAAAGTTTGAATATTTGATCTGCAGCTAAAAAATCCTTAGTAGAAATGATCTGGTGATTATTTATAGATTAACTGATTAATAACTGGATGCAAAAGTCAAGCTAAGCTTATTTTTATGGAACATTTCAGCAACCAGGCAGTTCAAAGTGCTTTACTTCATAAAACGTCACATCTTCATCAAATATGAAGCATTTTGCCACCAGAATCGAGCAAATACACATCAAATATGTGCACAATGTTCTTAATAGCAGATTATTATATGTTATTTTTAATATGTTGTTTAACTTTATACACTTTTGTGAATGTTATAATTATTATCTCTACTTTCTGTTTTTGGGATAATTCTGCTGATTGTTTCTTCGGTCTTGTTGAGTTTCCGGCCTGAAGCCCTGCCGGCCTGCGCGGCTCCTCTCGCCGCTTTCAGCTGCTCTGAATCATCTGGCGGACCGAACCATTCAGGGTCCGAACCGCAGCAGAACCTCCCGGCTCTGGGGCTCACACTGAGGAGAACCGGCGTCAGGAGAACCGGTTCGGTTCGTCAGAGTTCCTCAGAAGTGACCTGAGGTCCGCTTCGGCCAGAAAACCCGGTTCTGATCTTGTTCCAGTTGGTTCCGTCCATTTGTCCAGCATGAAGGTTTTGGCTGCGATAAGAAAAAAGTCAAGGCAGCGGCAGAGAGACAGCGAGCGGAAAAGAGGTGCTCAAGCCTTCAAAATAAAATAAATGGAACAAACGAAAATTAAAGTAATTCATAAGTTTTGTCTAAACTTAAAACGGAATAAAAATTTAATTTAATTTAGAAAGTACACTTTGAAGGTCTGGAGAAAATTCCTCAGCATTAACAGGAGAGATCAACGAGCTTCTTATTTATTAAATTATTAACGACTCAGAGGAATATTGTTGTTTGAAGTTTGGATTGGCCTCTTTTTAAACATTTTTATTAGCATTAAAATATTATATTAATACAAAAAACCATTCTGTTTCACATCATTTTAAAACATGCCAAATGTTTTAAGATTATTAAACTTATTGACTGTTTAACTTTTATTTAGTTTATTTTTTCAATTTTACTTAATCATTAATTAAATTTTTATTTTTTAATTTGATCATATTTTTAAAATTTCTACATTAAATCATTTTTTCAGTGGTAAGTAAACTCACAAAATTACATTTTGGGTCATTTTATTGATATTGATTTAATTTAGTCTCATGCTTTTCTATTTTTTATTTTGTTCTACTTTATTATCTACTTTACTTTGTTTTACTATTTTATTTTTTATTGTATTTAATTCAATTTAGTTTTGTTTATGTTATTTTGATTTGCTTAATTATTATCATTAGTAGTAGTAGTAGTAGTAGCAGCAGCAGCATTTGTTTTATTTTGAAGTGCGTGACCGGAAGTGTGACCTTCCTCTCGGGAACTTGACCTCCTCGGTTTTCAGTCTCTCCCTGAAGATTCCTCAGTGAAGACCTTCACACCGCAGAACCGAACCGAACCTCTGTGTTTCAGAACTCACCTCGCGGTTCCGGTTCGGAAGCCAGATTTGAACACTTTTTGTATTCCCGGCGTTGGTTCTGTTCGGATCCGAGTCTTTCCCCCGAACCGTCCGTGGTTCCGTTCCTTCCTCTACAGCTGGGTGTGTTAGGCAGAACTGGACCGGAGTTCGGCTCGTGTACCGCGCTGGTTGTGAGGAATGAACCCGTCTGGACCCGGACTGGACCGACACCATGGATTATAAAGAGCTGGGGGTTCGTCTGGAGGAGAAGCTGACCCTGACAGAGAAGAGTGAGTAACCAGAACCAGTCCTGGCCCGGTCCGGTCCGCGGCACCGGTCCGGTTATCACGTCCATCACCTGCAGAGAGTCAGCCAATCAGATCAGTCCTTCCAGCTGCAGCTGATTGGAAGCCGCTCAGGCAGTCCGGCTGCTCTGCTGGTTCTGCCTAGGGCGGTTCGGCTGGTCCAGAAGGAAAGTTCTGGTTCTAGTGGTCCAGTTGAGGCAGATGATGGTTGCAGGTTTGGTTCTGATGTTGTGATGAATCTCCAGATGTTTCTGCTGGGTTCTGAGGTGGAACCATCTCTGTGCGGCTCAGAACCTCCTGCTGGTTCTTCAGAACCTCCTGCTGGTTCTTCTGGATGTGTGAAGGAGGCAGAGGACTGGACCAGCTGCAGGGGAGGTTCTGTTCTCTGCACCAGAGGTTGGTACCGACGGGTCAGAAGCCTGGTTTGAGTGGTTCTGCTGCAGAGGCGGTCCAACGTTTATCTTCTGGGTCGGGTTGGTTCTGACATCTGCTGGGTTCTGGTTCTGGTCCAGCGGTCTCCAACCTGCGGCTCTTTGGTTCTAACTTTGGCTAAAAGTGATAAATAATTATTTATAATAATAATAAAGTTATTTTATGATTCATTCGGTTTTATTTCTATTGAATGAAAACATTCATTAAATATTATTTTCCCATCAACATTGTAGAAGAAAATGTTTCCATCACTGATCTTTGAAACTCCGGACCTGACTCCGGTTCTGGTTCTGTTGGTCCAGTTGACGACCAGTGGAACCAGCAGTCCGCTGGGATTAGCACTTGGACTAGGACGTTCTCTTCCAGATGGGCGGTGCAGCAAAACATGACGGGTTTATTCTACAGCTGAATTAATTAATCGCGATTAATCGACTATAATTGTCAACTAATTTAGGTATTGATTAATCGCTAACAGACTAAAGGAGAGGCCCCTGGGCCCAGGGGACCCAGGGGGCCCATTGGGCCCCCACTGTACAGCCCTGTCCGTCCGCTGGGCCCAGACATTTACACAGACTGGACTCAACTCTGACAATCTGTGTTTATGTACAGACAGAGAAAACCTGCAGCACTGAGATCTGGACCAAAAGGCTCCAGATCATAACTGCCACCCAACAGTGTACGGACCTCTGGCCCTCTGGGTCGGGTCGGGTCGGGATCAGGAACCACTGGATAATGTCTGGACCAGTTTTGACCAAAAATTAAATAAGAATTCTGTACTTGTGCCACATCTGGGCCACATGCAGTATTTCCAGAACCGTGGCGACGTTTTCTTTCCAACGGGCGTTGGACCGTTAGCTTCACCTGCAGCGGCGGCCATCTTGGCTCTGGGTGAGGCTGAAAGCTGCCAGACTCGGAGGAAGACGACCAGCAACTCTTCATCGTCTGTCTGTGATTCATGGAGCAGCTGATGTTTACCAGCAGAGGCTCCGCAGCGTCATCTGACTCCCTGCTCTGATCAGAGCAGGGAGTCAGCAGTGACTGACCTCTAACCTCTCATCACAAACTGGAGCCTTCAGTTTCTCTGTTCAGTTTTAAAAGATCAAAACGTTTCAATAATTTAAAGCAGGAAGTGAAACTCATGCAGTCACTTAAGGAAAGCCCAACGTTCAGGAGTTAACAGAAAATGATCCGTCATGTCCAAGTCAGAGGAAACCTGCTGCACCCAAGCATATGAATGGAAAGTTGAGTGGAAGGAAGAAAATCGGTGAAGAGTGAAGACAGCCAGAATCCAGAGCTGCTGAGATTCTGGTTCTGTTCACTTTGGTTTGGATCAGTTCTGGGTTTCTGACCCGATTCTCAGCTCTCTGGGTTCTACCGGGTCTCTGGTCCAAACTCCACTGGTTCTGATCCGACTGGTTCTCCCTCGGTTCTGACGGATACAACAGACTCAAATGGTCTGGTTCTTCTGGTTCTGGTCCAGACCCAGAGCACCTTTAAGCTCCTCTGTCCTAAACATCTAGACCAGAACCAGAACAGAACCAGACCCAAAACAGAACCAGAACCAGACTGGTACTGCTGTTGGTGGACAGCCGGGTCCGTCAGAAGAACCTGTGTGAATCTGAACCCGGTCCAGTTGTGCTCAGCTGGACCAGGTTTGAGTTTGAATGGTTTTAGAACCTGAAGAGTTCAGGAAGTGATGTCACTATGAGGTCATGGAAAACAGGAAGTGAAACTCAAGATGGACGTCTTGATTTCCTCCTTTTTCCCTTTGGCCTCCTTCGGCTGGCGGTTGCCGTGGTGACCAGGGAAACAGGAAGTGGACTGTAAAGGAATCAGTTCTGGCCCTGGTCTGGTTTGGTCTGGCTAATCTCTAACTACCTACTTTCAGTTCAGAAGCAGATTTTTGTTTTCAGCTGAACCCATCGGATCCGAAACGTTTGGATGAAACTTCAGTCAGAACCAAAGAGTCTGGACTTTGTTTTCCTCTGAGGTCAGGAAAGGTTCTGGTCGGGTTCTGTCCGGATGCATGTTGTCTGCTTCTCCTCGGTTCTGCTGGTTGTGAGGAGGAGCATGTGGGCCGTGCTGCGACACAGACTGCAGCGTTGTGCTCCAGGAATGTGCTTCCTGTGCTGGGCGCCCCGCTGTCCCACTGCGCTTCCGGCCCTGAAGGAGGCGGAGGAGGAGCGGGGTCAGCCAGGCTCCAGGGGGTTTTCCAGGACAAATCCTGGGATTTCAGGAGAAATCCAGGTTTCTCCAGGTCTTCCTGTGTTGTCATCCTGCAGCAGCAGCTGGTCTGTGGTGTGTGTGAGGCGTCGGCTGCTCAGAAACATGCCACAGATTCCTGACCCAGATCCAACATGTCGGCACAGCAGCCGGAATGTTTTCCTCTCAGAACCCTGAAAACGGGCCGGTCCGCTTCACTGAAACTCAGAACCCTTTCTGCTTTTAATGACCTGAAAATAATCTGATCCCAGTTTAGATCATAATAAATCTTCTGCTGGGCAGAAAGTGAAGTCTGAGCAGCTCTGAGCTGATTGGCTCTGTAAACAGACTTCCTGCTGCAGACGCTCTGCGGTCGGGTCGCCGCCCTGAGGAGCCTCGACTGCAGCCAGAACCTTTTATGGGCCACATTCTCTCCAGCTAATAATATCCTGCAGCAGGCGGAGGAGCTTTCTGGGAAATGGAGGCGTCATGAATGGCAGCATCATGTGATGCTGCAGCCTGGAGGCCGTTAGCATCAGGGGTCATCAGAAAAAAGAAATATCTTCCATCCTCATTCATTTGTTAACTCCGGACTCTGCAGAGGGTCCAGCAGCTGCAGCTTCCAGGAGGTTCATGAACCGGACCAGATCCAGAATTGATCAGAGGATCTGGACCTGGAGCGTCTCTAAACTGAAACTCAGTTCCTCCCAGAACGGCCAGAAGGTCTTCATATTCCTCCTGCTGAAAACCAGAACCGCAGCCAGACGTTCATTTACTGATACGTTATCCTGAGGATTAATCAGTCGCAAAATACATTCTGCAGTTTTTTTATTTAACCACGAAAGCATTTCTTGAGAAAAATTTGGAGTCTTCAGCTAGCTCTGTGGCTAGCTCTGTGGCTAGCTCTGTGGCTAGCTCTGTGGCTAGCTCTGCAACTAACTCTGTGGCTAACTCTGCGACTAACTGCGACTAACTCTGTGGCTAACTCTGCGTCTAACTCTGTGGCTAGCTCTGTGGCTAGCTCTGTGGCTAGTTCTGTGGCTAACTCTGCAGCTAGCTCTGTGGCTAGCCTGCTTGCTCCCTGCAGCAGCTTTTCCAAATTGAAACTGAATCTGCAGGAAGGACTCAGCAGGCTGCCAAGTTATTTAGTTTTATTTGACCGTAATAACTTACACATGTTGCACCAAGTTTCAAATCCAAGACGTTAAACTTGTTAATTTGTTTATAGTAACTTCAGCAGTTAAAATTTGCCACAAAATGTAAATTAAACCATTTTGTTTGTTTGCTGTTCCTGTAAGATTAAAATCAACAAACATAACGTCAGGCTGATGGAAGCTAACCACAAATGATGCTAATGTTAGCATGCTACGCACAAAGCCTTGGAATGATGAAGCGTCTGGTGTCGATGTGTGTTGATGGGGCCCAGATGAAAATGTGCTTAGGGCCCCAAAAAGGCTTGGACCGGCCCGGCTGCAGAAATCAGCAGATTGTCAGGAGCAGCTGACAAACCGAGCCACAAACCCCATCGGAACCAATTCAGAACCCCATCGGAACCACATCAGAACCCCATCAGAACCCCATCAGAACCACATCAGAACCCCATCGGAACCCCATCGGAACCTCAGAACCACATCGGAACCACATCAGAACCTCGGAACCACATCAGAACCCCATCAAAACATCAGAACCCCATCAGAACCCCATCAGAACCCCTTCAGAACCACATCGGAACCCCATCAGAACCCCTTCAGAACCCCTTCAGAACCCCATCGGAACCACATCAAAACCTCAGAACCCCATCGGAACCCCATCGGAACCACATCAAAACCTCAGAACCCCATCAGAACCCCATCAGAACCCCATCAGAACCCCATCAGAA